ACGACTTAATACCAGAAATCGCTGCAAACAACGGAGCGCCTGTATACTCGATTGATCCACCAATCACAGCAATCTTTCCGCATTTTCCCTTAAAACAGGAACGTTACAAAACCGCTTTCTACGGAAAGGAGCGTGAGGAAGTTTACAGAATAGGAATTCACTCTTACAAAATCGTTAGTTCAATATGGGCGATTAAAGGGGTACTCCTTCTGATGTGAGGACCTATTAAACCATCTCTTCTTTTCTTGATCTCGCGAAAACAACTGCGCTGGATATTTTCGCCTTTCCTATTTTACATAAAGCCGGAGGAAATAGCTGCACCTCCTTTGCCATTTTTCCTTTGCAAGAATCGCAACCGCCCAGTGACAGCTCACGACAGATGGTTTTCAGAGGAGAATTAGCAAGTAGAGGTTCGTCAATGGTTCGTAGATGGGAGAGATGCGACAAACTAGGGCATTTAAAAAAAGTTAAGCTTTGAGTGGAGGCCTTGATATGCAATCTACGCTAGCCATATCCAACTTTCGAGCCTCACTGGAAGTCCTCCCGCCGGATGCTGACACCAATTAGTTTTTTTCTCTTTCTCTAAAGGAAGGGAAGAAAAAAGTAAGTTGACTTTTCCAAGGGCCCAGGGTGAAGTGAACTGAACTCTGTATCAGAATGAGAAAATAAAGCTACCTTCCATAAGCTAGTTCCGAGCACCGGCAACAACTTCCGAACGTGTTCCATCTGTAAACGATTCCTAAAACACTGCTAAAGTAAAACCAGGACCTATCACATCCATAACATTTTATCGCCTCCGCGAACGTAACGACGGATAACACCAATGGTTATTTGCTTATGTCTGTACAAATAAACTGAGATATGTACATTCATTTATCACAACTACAAAAATTACAAAAATGTCGAAAAATCATAGTTAGTCAATTTACATATTTTTAAGACATAAAATTATTTTTCACGGATTCACACTTGAATCTTCACCCGGAGAATATTTTTGGGAAGAACTAACAAACAACCGGAACGCGTGAAAACCGGGATCAATACAGTTTAACAGATGAACTATAACAACTATGTACAAGACGACTGTACTCAGCAGACTACTTTGACTAAAAGCAGTACGCACGGCAAGCTATCGCTACATATTTGACAGCAGATCCCTTTTGAGACTGATCCTTTTGCTGAACCAACTGGAGCAGGTAGAAGAGCTTTTTCGTGAACAAGACGCGTGTGATTCATTATACTAAAATTAAAGCATGTCAGTAGAGTAAAAAAGAAGGAAGTTGGGATAGAAAACGGAAATCGTCAAAAAAAAAACTTACTTTGACGCTTGCTTGTAATATTGCAAAGCTTTTCTGAAACTGCGTTCATCCAAGTTGCCGCTAGCTTGTAGGCGTTCCATACAATTCTAAAAAAGAAGCTAAAGTAAAAATTAAAATAGGTGTACCAGGTCAACAATACTCAAAACTAAAAAATAAACATTCGCTAACTGTTGCACGAGAACAGAGTTGTACGGTTACACCCCACTGCATTCGTAAAGCATATAAACCAGGTTTAGGTTGCCCATCTCCCTACAAAAATAATCACACCAAATAGGATAATAGTAGAGTACCTTGAGTTCTTGAAATGGCCTCTCTATATCGCCAATACAATCATCTATGAGATTGCCATACTTCATGAGCTCTGCCCTCATGTCCACTGTGAACCTAGAAGATTAACAAGCAAATGAAGAAATGATGAGTACCACAAAAGAAAGCCATCTGCAATAAATTACTTTGCGACGCGAAGTAAAATGCGGACGATGGATTTTGGCGACTTATTACATAGCTGTGCCGCCAGCTCCGCTCTTCTCGCAACACATTGGTTGGCAAGTTTCCTTTCATATTCGTAAATAGTTGTAGAGTGAGGATCGTCGCTAAGCATTGCATTCAGCTCCTCTAAACCCATAAATTCAATACGGTTACAATGTACAAAAAATGAAGGTCGTCGTCATTACCTTCAAGTCCGGGCTCTTCGACTGTATGCAGTTCTACCTCGTCCAATTCAGATAAATGCTCAGCTGTGATGATTAGCGATTGGTTTATAAAATCTATAAAAAATAATATGAAAGAAGATCTGCAATTGATAATCAAATTAAATGGAATCGATAAGCTTCATGTCAACTACCTGTGCAGGTTTCTAGTGCTTTCGCTGCTCTGTCAGCAAGTTCACATATGCGATCCATGACAGCCTATAAAAAAAGACAAGCTCCTTTTATAGAGATCACCTCTAAGGTTACTAGCAACAATGACTAATTCTCAATAAAAAATATTAATGTGGAGGACAACCGTCCAATAAATTGGTGACGCTTATTACGGTTCGTACGCCATGCAAACCAGCGGAAATCTCCATCGGGGTGTGGTTCACTAGGACAGAAAGCGACTTTTTCGCGTTTCGCAGCGCGAAACATTTTTCGCTGCGGGAACCTCAGGTCCACTGATGATCAGCGGTGGACCTGAGGTTCCCGCAGCGAAAAATGTTTCGCGCTGCGAAACGCGAAAAAGTCGCTTTCTGTCCTAGTGAACCACACCCCCCCATCCGTCCAGTGTCAGTGTTGGGTAAGTGGTGCCACAATTGTCCGGAGGACAAATACACTAAACTGGACGTCAGCTGGCCCTCGGGCCCCTCTCCTCTCCAAGGCTTAGTCCTAGGGCATTTACCCGTTCTCTAATCGTCTGTGCTCTAGCCATCGCGGCAGGACCATTGCGGAAAAACCAGGGGCGGTATTCAATCCTTCCCCCAGGGGGATATATCCCCTACTCTGATTCAATCCTCTGGGGGGACAAAAAAGGGTTGCGTCATAGGACCTAGCATACCTCTGTGTTTCTACCTGCCAGACAGTTAGAGCAGCGCGACCCCTCAGGGAAAAGAGTGCTTCATCAGTGGAGGGTAGTCGCGCTGCTCTAACTGTCTGGCAGGTAGAAACACAGAGGTATGCTAGGTCCTATGACGCAACCCTTTTTTGTCCCCCCAGAGGATTGAATCAGAGGGGGGGGAAGGATTGAATACCGCCCTGTGGTGCACACCTTTTTCACAAGTTTTTCATCAAGTCACATTTGTAAGGGTTACGACGCTCTAATCATGACGTACTAATCTATTTCATGCTAAATTCTTGTGTTCCCGCATTGTTGCCCCCTATATCCCGGTAAGACCGTTTTCAAAACAAGCTTGGCGCCCTGAAAGAACGTCCTGCGATCGATATGCATACAATGCCCTGCGACCGTCACGATCGTTACGGTCGGACGACCGCACAGCGACTATGCATGCGTGAGCTCGAGCACTGTGCATTTTCCTTGATAACTCCTTCAAAGAACCGTTTAGCAGATACCAATTGCAGTTGTGTTTTTAGCGTCTCAAGACTGATGTAAGGCTGCACCCCCCATTTCAAATAGCTGGGTGGAGCTGTTCGCTGACCTTTCCCAACAGACAGCAGTTCAAACGTACTTTGGATAAACAGGATTCTCTATCTTATATCCGTATTTGTACATATATCTGTTGTTATCTCCGCAAACTCTTTCAGCTGATATTGCTCCTAAAAACAATGTATGAAGGTGAAATAAAGTGAAACAACTTCAACCCACCTTCCGGGCGACATTCTTTTGCGACTGCTTGAGCATATACACTAGTATCCTTTGCGTCAATCGGGAATGGGAATGCTCCTGTAGCAACTAAATACAGTGTGCAACCGAACGACCATAAGTCACACTGTTCTCTAGTATAGTTATCATTCGTCCTGCTTCGTCGTTGTGCGTAAGCAACCGCCAATTCAGGACACTATAAACAAAAACCTTCCAAGACAGGAGTATAAGATAGGAGTTTATGAGGGAGGTTTCCTTTTAAAACTGCTCCACTCATGAAAAAAAAACTGACCAAGGCATTTGGCGTACCGACGAGGGTTTGCATTACTCCATCTTCATGCACGAAACTCGACACGCCCATATCACAGAATTTAAATAGATATTGCGACCTACACCGTAAAGAATCGGAGTTTTAAAAAAGGGAGAGCTGTAGAGAATACAAAACATTACCTCCTGCCTTTCGTGGACCCAGGAAATACCAGGATATTAAGATGTTTGATATCACGATGAGCAATACCGCGCTCTTTTAACGTCGTTAGAGCAGAGACTAAATAGAATACACTTGATCATTGATAGTATTTTCTTCCCTGGAATATAAGGTTTCAGGCATACCTGAATCACATAGGAGATCAATGATGACTTCTTTGGGGAGTCCTCGCAAATTTCTGACCTGCTTCACCAGACTATCAAGCGAATACAAGGCGCGTTCCATGGCGAATGAGAAGCGTTCAGGAGAGTGTTCCGTTGCTAATTTATGCCTACTGCCTATGTACTGAAAATACCAATACTTTTTTGACCTCTCATACTAATCTTCTTATAATTTCCATGAATTCTCAAACATTCAAACTTGGTAGGCCCGCTGCAGGGTTTTTTTTTCAAAACAGTAAGACGCAGTTGTCTGAACTTTGGGAACCTTCTATGACTTAGTGTATAGTTTACAAGCTAATGGTAAAACTTTGACGTCTAAAATCGCGCCACCTCCAGAATCCCTTTTGGTAGTGGAGCAATGTCTGGGGTAAGTGTGAAAGCGACCTGGACCCGAAAATTTCCTCAACTGTCAAAATTGAGAATACTGCAAACGACAAGAGCCATTGCACCAAATGCTCCAGCCCCTTGAGTCACAAAACCAGAACACTAATTGAAAAGCTATTACAATAAGGACACATCGTAGTAAATGCTGTCTAACATCGTACTCATACCTTCACGATATTCGGAGCTCCAGCACATCGGCGATAAAATTCGACCTCTTTTTGAGCAGCACGAATTTCCTTGTCGTCTCTTGCATGTTTCACAGCAACTCTTCGACCCGACTGCGTCCTTCCGGGATGTATCTGCAAGAACCGAATCCAATCAAAAACACCAAAAGGGTACTAAGTGAAGTTCTGAGATTATAGAAGATCTACGAAAAAAGTGTTTCCTCACTAAGGCTACGAGTCGGGATCAAGCCTCAAGAGCCAGTCCCTTTCAGAGTGAAGAAGAGGGATTCTCAAGAGCAAGAGGCACGACAATGTCGCGGCTCAAAAGTGCTAGGAAACAGCGCTAACCAGGAAGGTCTTTCAGGGCGTGCCAAGCTTTTTGAAAACGGTCTTTTGCATGATATAGGGGCACATGCGGGAACCACAGAACCATGGTTCATTTTTCCTGAACGGCCCTCTGAATACCAGAAAAGGGGGTCCCTAGTTCGATTCCTCGTGGTGACAAATTTTTGCATTTCGAGTTGACGTTCCAAAATTCGCGCAAAATGGAGTTAGCATGAATAATTAGTACCATATTCATGATTAGGACCGTCAGTAACCCTTACAAAAAGACTTTGATAAAAAACTGGTGAAAAAGGTGTGACACCAAGCAGCCCCACTGTGGTGTCACACCTTTTTCACCAGTTTTTTAATCAAAGTCTATTTGTAAGGGTTACTGACGGTCCTAATCATGAATGGTACTAATTATTCATGCTAAACTCCATTTTGCGCGAATTTTGGCCCGTATACCCGGTAAGACCGTTTTCAAAACAGCTTGGCGCCCTGAACGAACGTTCCTGGGGCGGTATTCAATCCTTCCCCCAGGGGGATATATCCCCTCCTCTGATTCAATCCTCTGGGGGACAAAAAAGGGTTGCGTCATAGGACCTAGCATACCTCTGTGTTTCTACCTGCCAGACAGTTAGAGCAGCGCTACTACCCTCCACTGATGAAGCACTCTTTCCCCTGAGGGGTCGCGCTGCTCTAACTGTCTGGCAGGTAGAAACACAGAGGTATGCGAGGTCCTATGACGCAACCCTTTTTTGTCCCCCCAGAGGATTGAATCAGAGTAGGGGGATATATCCCCCTGGGGGAAGGATTGAATACCGCCCCTGGTGAGGCCTTGTGTGCTGCGTGCTGCCATCCTTATCACCACGGCATACGTGGTCTCTGCGCCTCTCGCGTACAACGTACTCTCTCGCGTCTTCCCTCTCCTCGCAGCGCTGTGTCTCTCCGTCATACCACGGCCAGCCTCCTAAGGGAAATCTAGGTCTAAGTGGGTTGGGGGACCACGCGGCGGCGCGGCAGTCTGCTCGCCTGGCGCTCTCTCGAGCGAGACAGTGTAAACTCGAACATTCCAGCTTTTCACGCATGTCAAGTGACTGCCCTCACCCCCCCCCCCCCCTAGACTGCCTACACTCCCCCTGGCTCACGGATTTCCCGAAGTGCCAGGCGAGCAGACTGCCGCGTCGCCGCGTGGTCCCCCCACCCATTTAGCACCGAAATTTAATGCTTCCTATAGTGATTTTTGCTTTTTCTCTCTACTGATGTTCCTCATTGCACTTCTTGCCTGATTTTAAAGCAAGATAACGCACAATTCATTCCCGACTCGTGCCTTTAAGAACACACAAAAAGGCTCCCAGACAATACCTAACCATTTGGGCGCGGCCGCGGCGAACGCGGCCGAGTTGATAGGTGCCCGCGAACTCAGCACAGCACAGTTCGCGGGCACCTCGAGTGCGTTTTCAACGGTTCGCGGGCAATCGACTCGGCCGCGGCCGCGCCCAAATGGTTAGGTATTGTCTGGGAGCCG